AGTGTCCCTCTTGACTGGCTGCAGACCTGAGAGAATACTGACCTCACCGGGGGCTGGATTTGATTAGAGGATGATTGCAAAGCACTTTCAAGACAAGCAGTGTTCTAAAGGTTAACTAGTATCGATCTCTCTGGTTGGTTTAGGAATGAAGGGTAAGGAATCTGAGGAAGGGGGTGGGGGGTAGGCCTGGCAAAAAGTATTTCCTTTTCAAAGAAGCAGGCTTTTTTTCTTACTGCTGTTGTAATTATAGTAATGATTATTATTGAGAAGAGGCGACGGAGGACTTTCCCTGCGTTACTCTTTCAGGGTTAGCTCCTGGCACTTGCAAGGATCCTTGGAATGTTGAGGTTCAGGGAAATTGGAGATTTGGGTAGCACATTGTATTAGGAGAAAGGGACATTTTCTAGGTGACAGACTGACCACTCGGGTTCACTTCTTTCTAAAAGTGGGTGGGTGGATTTAATGGAGAAAGGTTTAGGAGCTTACAGCGGTGGCAAGAAAGAAAACTCCTTTTCAGGACCGCGCTTTGATTGGTAACTATCTCCCCTGAAAAGAATGATTGTAAAAAGAAAGAAAAGAATGTGAAATTCTAAATTGCAAGACAGAATTAGAAAATATCGAACTTCCAAGTGACTTGTTTATTGAGAGCCGTCTCGCCCCCCCCCGCCCCTCTGTGCCCTGCGCCCAGCTCCCCCCAAGAAGCACCAGGAACGGACACTTTGTGAAGTGGATCCTACGTACACATGCACGCACAGGAAACTGCTCTGGGGATAGAGCAAGCTCTAATTTGTGGAAAATGGATTAAATATTTCTGTTTTCTGAAAAAGAGTTATTTTGTATTTTGTTTTCTATTAAAATGTCTTTAGTTTCCAAAAAAAAAAAAAAAATGTTGGCATCTTTTGTAAACTCTGAGGAAAGAAGGGTAGTTGTTTTGTCTTGGAATAGAATGCATCTCATCTCTTCAGAAGAACAACCAGTAGTGTAAACAACAGTGTGTTTTTATCTTTTCTTATATTCTGTCCAGCTTACTTTGAAACATGATTCCCTTTGGCATTCATTTGGATTTTTATAGCATGTAATGTTTATACATCCAAGATTGCTAATTGCAGACCGAAAACATTATACATTTTATTATTTCATAAGCCTGCACTTCCAACTTCCTTTAGAGATCCATTATAAAATCTCTACGGATTGTAAGAATTGTGTTAATTAACACAAGCTGTTTACTGGAAAATGCAAGATAAAGAACTTGTTTAAAAATTAAATTATACCAAACTTTAAAAAAAAAAAAAAAAAAAGATTGCTGGGCCGCCTGACCATCCACTTCAGGTCAGCAACCTTGGCAGCCCATAGAGACCTTCAGGGCTCATCCACCCGCCATGCCTTTCAGTCCTGCATGCCAGCCTCATCCTGATACCGATACCAGATACCGTCTAAAATGCAAGCCTTGAGCAACTGTACTGCTCAGTGTTGAGTTGTATACATCCCCAAACAATCATGGCCCCTGTACTTAGCCCAACTTTTCCAGTCTGTGGTCCCCATATCTCTCCAAAGGTCTCCACCTTGACTCACCCCTGGCCCGGCCCCCACCTGTTTCACAGTGCTTTGAAACCCCACAGTACGTGCACTCCCTTTTGGCCCCATCTCTTCCTTGGACACTTCCTTGAGTATTTCCTTCCTTTTTAGGCCTGTGCACAGGTTTTTCAACTTGGACATGTGTCATGGATTGACTGTGTCCCCCAGATATGTGTCGGAGTCCTGGTGTGACACTGTAGAACAAGCACTGGACTGTAAACCACAGGGTTGGCAGTTCAAACCCACCGGCTGTTCCTCAGAAACACTATACAGGGTCACTGTGAGTCAGAACCGCCTTATCGGCACATAACAACAGCAACAAACCCTGTATAGGGTCACTATGAGTTGAACAGACTCAATGGCACTTAACAACAAAAGGCGAGAGATAAGAGCCAAGAATGAGGAACCCACTGCCTCCAATAAAGAATAAGCAGGAGTGGATTGCATCCTTTGGACCTGGGCCTCCTCTGTGATGTTCCTAGATCCAGGGAACAAATGATGTCAAAACACATGGAGCTTGCCAAGGATGCTGAAAGGAGACCTTCCCTCAGGGTTGGCACTCTGAATTCAGACTTCCAGCCTCCTAAAGTGTGAGAGCATAAATTGCTGGTTGTTAAAGTCATCCACCTGTGGTGTTTCTGTTCTAACAGCACTAGAGAACTAAGGCAGAACTTGGTACCGAGAGTGGGGTGCTGCTCTATCAGATCCCTAAAATGTGGAAGCCGTTTTAGAATTGGATAATGAGTAGAAAGGCTGGAAGAGTGCTAAGCGGCCAATAGTCAAGGCCTAGCTTGACTGCAAAAGACTGCTGGTGGGATTATGGGTGGCAAAGGCAGTTCTGGTGAGGGCTCAGCAGGCAGGGAGAAGGGGCAGAGAAACTGCAGCAGCAGATCCAGGAGACCAACACAAGAAGGCATGAGCACCTTCATGCAGAAGGCTTCCTGGGAGAATTGGGTGCCTCTGGACACTTGTCGGTGAAGGAAAGCTTGAGCACCTTTTTGGGGGTCATAACACTTGTTCACGCAGAGCAGAGACCAGGATGCCCTCTTCTAGAGACGAAGGAGTATGGGACCAGAGCTGCCTCCGTCTCAAAAGTTAGGGCCATGACCTCCGTGCTCACAAAGGGTAGAACCAAGACCTCTGGGATTTCTAAGAGTGGGGCCTCAGTTTTGTAAGTTTCAAGAAGTCAACTTCTTCACCAAGTCGTTTTTGGAATGTGGAGCTGCTATTAAGATGGGGCCTCTGCCCAAAGCTGAGGGGTTGGGACTGCAGAAGAACGGGGCCAGCCAGGGCTGAGAAGGTGTGTAGGAGAACAAGACTGCCCAAGGAAAGGCCAAGGAGCAGAGTTGCCGCTCCCCTGGACCTGGAAAGCAGAGCAGACACCCAGAGTCTGCAGAGAAGAGCCATTGCGTAGAACAGGGATTATTTCCCAGCCTTGAGAGCCACGATAAATTGTTCTGCTGAGATTTTAACTCGCTTGGTGCCTGTTAACCTTTTCTTTCCCTCCTACTGCTACCATTTATAATGGAAACGGTTACCTTCTAGCAGGTTCCACCATTGTACTTTGGAAGCAGATAACTTCCATTCTAGATTTACAGGTAGAGAAATTTTGCCTCCAGTTAGAATTTGTACTTGGAAGACTTTTGTGAGGATAGGATGGGATGATAGCATGTCACAAGGACCTGTATTTGGTGGGGGGCAAAGGGTGGGATGTTATTAATTAAATTATATCCCCACAAAGTCTGTGTCAGCTTAACTGGACCCTGATTCTCAATGGTTTGGCAATGATGTGATGACCCCCCCCCATGATGTTGAAGCCCCTTGTGGTATTACTGTTACAGCAGCCTGGATAACACAGGCAACGTGAGTTTTCATTTCCTGTGGGATAAAGCACTGGACTGCAAGGTCGGTTTGAACCACAAGGTTGGCGGTTCAAACTCACCATCCGCTCTTTGGAAACTCTATACAGGTTCGCTATGAGTTGGAACCAACTCGATGGCATTTAACAACAACAACTGTTATCATACCAAGTTACCACAAATTTAGTGGCTTGCAACCTACATTCCCAAACCAAATCTACCCCAAATTGCTTGCTTTTTAGTTCTTTGGCTGAGAAGTCCAGCACCGGGCTCCCTGTGCTGAAATCAAAGGGTCAATGGGGCTGCAGTCCTTTCTAGAAGTTTTAGGGAGAATTGTTCTATCTCAGAAGAGATCGACTCAAGATCCACCCTACAAAAACCTGCATCAGTCACTTAACAAAGATGCCCTATCCTCAAACGGGATCATTACTGTGAGCCACACATGCTGGCTGCTTCCCTGCAGTTGGCCTGGATTCCTCCACAGCCTGCCTGTGTTTTGCAGATGAGGACTCACACGTTGGGAGATCAAAGACCTTGCCTGTGGTCACACTCCTAGTAAGTGGCAGAGCTAGACTTAAGCTAGTGCTAAAATGACACAGATACCGAAACCCATCCACCCTTCCGCCTCTAACATATGGCAGAAATCTCAGAATCACTGATGTTTTTCGTTTTATTTCTTTAGCCAACTTGTCAACACTAGTTTCCAGACCTCTGTAATGTTTCAGAAAGTCTTCTTTTTTGGATGATTATGTCACCCATCTTTTCTAAGAGTACAAAAATGTTTCTTCCTTTATTATAAATCTGTGCCTGAAAAGACGTAACGTAAGCTCTTGATTTGCTTGATGTGCCGACACTTTACAAGTCTTACAATTTCATATTAGAAGGCTTCCCGTTTCTCTGTGACAATTTAGTATATTGGAGTCTATGGGACAAAGCATGGATATGTCATTTGAGTAGTCGAAGTGTCGTGTATGACCCTATTCAGGAAAGTACGCCTAGCTTAGTGGCGTCCACTTCTACAGTGTAAGGGGCTAAGTTGAAAGTGAAGACCAGACTGCCTGTTAGCAATTCTGGGTGTTCAGTACTGAGTACTAAAAATGCTATTATTTTTCTTTCATTAGGGGTCGTATATTGGAGAAGACAATGTCTGGAAGCTTCTACTTTGTAATCGTTGGCCACCATGATAATCCCGTCTTTGAAATGGAATTTCTGCCCGCTGGAAAAGCAGAATCCAAAGTACGTATGAAACCTTCAGAAATTCCTTACGGTTTGTTATGATGTTAGAATGATAAGGAAACAGGCAGATGAGTTCGTAGACGCCTACCACTGTTAGTTGAGGCTTGCGCCCAAGTCCCACAGGTTGACAGAAAAACCAGCCAGGGAATTTTCTCTGAGTCTTTTATTCAACACACATGTACTGATCACCTACTAGCGTGATGCTCAAGGTCTCTTGTCCCTACTCTTGAGTTCACCGGGCCACCTGCTCTGAACTGCTGCATCTGAAGCACAGAGACTCAGTTCACTGGTAGTGGGTCTGGAGGAACCAGCCTCGCTGCCTTGCAATGCCAAGCAAGCCTGTTCGATCTCAGCAGATCGCTACACTGCTACCATCAAGTTACTTCCGTCTCACAGCAACCGTAAAGGACAAGGTGGAACTGCCGTAAAGAGTTCCCAAGGCCATAAATCTTTATAGTAGGAGCAGCTGCTGGGTTCAAACTTTCTGGTTAGCAAACCAAGCTCTTTAACCACTGTGCTTACTGGTGGGGGGCTTACCTCTCAAGTCACCCTTGGTTGTGTGCTGGAAACACAAAAACAGTACTGGGCTGATGCCTCACACTTTTCTTGTCTTATTGTCAAGAATTATCCAGAAAGACAAGCTTGCTTCCAGAACATGCGATTCAGAGTAACAGAAGCCACAGAGCCATGGGAGGAGAACAGCCAGATCCCCCAATTCTTCCTGTTGCTATTAAGTTGCTGAAAAGTTTGGCTCTGTGTCTCTCAACCTCCAGAAATAAGCTATTGTGGGCTTGACAATAAGAACTGAGTTTCTAAATTAATGCTAATGCATAATTCCCACTTGTCTTAGTTATCTAGTGCTGCTATAACAGAAATGCCATGAGTGGTTGGCTTTAATAAAGACAGATTGATTCTCTCACAGTTTAGGAGGCTAGCAGGCCCAATTCAGAGCACCGGCCCTGGAGAACGGTCCTTGACTCCTTTCAGCATCTGTAGGCCCAGCATTCCTTGGAGCTCTCCTTGTGTCTTGGCATCAGTCTTCCCCTGGATCTAGGAGCTTCACAGGGCAGGGACCCCAGGGCCAAAGGACATGCTCCGCTCCTGGCTCTTCTGTCTTAGTGGCAGTAGGTTCCTCATTCTCTCCTTTTACCTCTTATAAGATAAAAGGGGATGTGCAGGCCACACCCCCAAGAAAACTTCCTTTCAGCGCTTGGCTGCTCATAGCACATCTCATCATGGAGGTGATTGCATTTATAGTTGATCTTATCAGGGGGGTGACTAAATCTTAATGGCTAACCCACTGAGAATCCTGGCCCAGTGTGTGGTATGTGGTACTTTTCAACTCCCAGGTGGTGTTACTATATAGGGTTTCCAAAGTGTGGTGCTGCGGGTTAATGCGCTGGACTGCAGAGTCAGTTTGAACCACAAGGTCAGTGGTTCAAGCTCACCAGCTACTCCTCAGAAAACCCTGTACAGGGTCCCTATGAGTCAGAACCGACTCGACGGCACTTAATAACAATAACAAATCTTTGTTGTTGTTGTTAAGTGCCGTCGAGTCGGTTTCGACCCATAGCGACCCTGTACAGGGTTTCCGAGGGTGTAAATCTTTATGGGAGTAGAAAGCCTTATCTTTCTCCCGCGGAGCGGCTGGTAGTTTCGAACCGCTGACCTTAAGGTTCGCAGCCCGATTCGTAACCACTACGCTACCAGAGCTCTTTGTGAAGTAGAAAGCCTCATCTTTCTCCCACGGAGCAGCTGATGGGCTCAAAGTGCTAACCTGGTGGTTCACAGTCCAGTGTTTATTATACACAGCCTGTCTTGGTCTGGGTTCTCGAGAGAAGCAAGCCCGCGGAGCTCATAGTTCATACATATATGTGTATGCGTATGTGTATACATGCATACATATATAAACAAGAGCAGTTTTGAAGTCCTAGTGTGTTGCTGTAGGATAAGCACTGGATTTAACTGCAAGGTCGGAGGGTCAAACCCACCAGGCACTCCTTGGAAACCCTATACAGGGTCACTCTGAATCAGAACTGACTCAATGGCACTTATAAGAACAAAAGGGAGGTTTATATCAAGGAAATGGTTCATATTACTAGAGTAGCCCCTCACATTCATGGGAGGACGCTGCTCCTAGAATCCTGGTTTGGAAGTATCTCTCTCTTTAGCAGTGGCGGCTTTGTGCCACACGGCTGCTTATAGTTTGTGATGAGCAGCAAGGAGTGCAGATGAGGGGGCTTCACAGTTAGTGAGAATATTCCATATTTCCTCAAACTTTTTGATGTTCTCATTGTAAAGAAATATTTTGTCACCTAACTTGGTCTTGGGAGCCTTGGTGGCACAGTGGGTGGCACAGTGAGTTATACGTTGGGCTATTGACCATAAGGTTGGTAGTTCAAACCCACCAGCTGTTCCATGGGAGAAAGATGAAACAGTCTGCTCCCAGAAAGATTTCCCGCCTTGGAAACCACCGGGAGTGGTTGTCCTCTATCCCATAGGGTCGCTGGGAGTCAGCTTTGTCTTGCTACCATGCACCTTCATCACACATTTCAACTGCTTTCTCCTCATCTCTCAAGATCGAGCATCAATGTAAAGTAATAGAAAATTCTGTTCCGCGCCAGGCACACGAAACATCCATTTCTCTAAGGATTCATTTCGGTTAGCTTTGTCATGGCAACGTGTGTGAAGTCAGCATCCTTCAGCAGGCCAAGGAATCCAGGGCAACCGGCAGCTGTCCTCCAGCTCAGCCTGGGGCGGGGCTGCTTTCAAAGAGCAGTGCCCAGGAGGGCGGGGCCGTCCCAGCTGTGCAGTCTCTCCACACTGGGCTGGGACATGCCCGCCCTCTCCAAGGAAGCCATTTCTGACAAGATTGTCACCACAGCCCTGTCACCAGCTGTCTGCTCACAACTGGGACTAAGCATGTCATGTGAGAGACCTGTGCCGTTTGGAGTGCCCCCTCCTCAGCTGTCTCTACTGCTCACTTGGTGCCATGGCCATGTCCTCTGGTCCCTGTAGCTCCCCTTCCCCGCCTTCTCGGTCCAGCTTTAAGTAGTGGCAGGCCTTCCTCCATCTCCCCAGATGTGGTTTTTCACTGCATTTGCCCATGGATGCAGAACAGACTGATTTTTTTTTTTCACATAGGTTTTCTGTTTGTTTGGTTTTACGAACTTGGCATGATGACAGAATCAGGGACTTCTGTCTTGGTCAATTGCTTTCCATGACAGTTCTGTCCTAGAGGGTCGCTGTGAGTCACAATCAGCTGGACAGGCTATGGGTTTGGTTTGGGGTTTGCTGTCTCATCACAATAATGAAGGAAGTCAAAGCCCAAACTTTCTACAAGAATGTCATGGAAAGCAATTGATGGGATGCTGGTCTCTGGAGTGGCCCATGGATGTTGATCTGTGGCTGCTCCCATTGTCACCCAGGACGACCACCGTCATCTGAACCAGTTCATTGCTCACGCTGCTCTCGACCTCGTAGATGAAAACATGTGGCTGTCTAACAACATGTACCTGAAAACTGTGGACAAATTCAACGAGTGGTTTGTCTCGGCGTTTGTTACGGCTGGTCATATCCTTACCTTTGAAATGAACCCATATAACTGAGAGCAGGGCTGCAAAGACCCGTCATGGCCATTGTTGTTGTTGTTGTTAAGTGCCTTCGAGTCAGTTCCGACCCATAGCGATCATGGCCATAGGGGCCGCTGAAAAGGGCTACAAATCCATTTGTGTTTTGCTTAAGGAGTAAGTGTAAAACCAAGTCTCATATATACAACTAAGGTTTCTCTAAATCTTAACCAGATACATTTGTTTGTGGTTTATCTTCCAACTGAAAAAAAAACAAAGGTGCTAACTTGGGTGATGGGGAAGGAAACAAGAAAAGGAAGAGATAAAAATAAAACAGTACATTCTCTTTTGAAATAAAACTAACCTAACTTTAAACACATCACAAAAATACCACAAAATACACTACATGTGATTATTTGAAGAACATTCTTATCAGCTGATTGCTTTTCATTTTTCATTAATGAAAAAAGATTAGACCTTAACTATTTCACATATGAGATTCATCATGCTTCACGACATACGCCAAGAGGATGGAATAAAGAACTTCTTCACCGATGTCTACGATTTGTACATAAAGGTATGGTATGTTCTAACATTCTCTAAATGTGTTCATAAAAAGCGATTTTGTACTTTGATCTGTTGGAGTTATTCCCATTATGCTGCAGTCTTCATCTCAGACGAGCCCTGGTGGCACAGTGGGATAAGCATTGGGCTGCTAAGCACAGGCCGGGCAGTCAAATCTGCCAGCTGCTTCCAGCTGCTTGGCGGGAGAAAGGCGACACAGTATGCGTCTATACAGACAGACGGTGTCCGAACCCCTCCCCGCACCTCCCCGTGAGGCCGTTCTACTCTGTCCTCTCGGGCTGCTGTGAGCCGGAATTGACTGCAAAGCCATGGCTTTCTCATCCTAGACTACCTTTCCCCAAACCACTCCCTGAGCAGGCACACCTGCAGCACCAGGTAGACATGGTTTGAGGGAACCAGCTTGTGAAGATGGACCGGCCTCAGTCTCTGCCTTTTACTGCATGTGACCGATTATACCGGGGAAATCTAACGAGCAGCAGGGGGATAGCGTTATGATTTTAATCTGGAATTCAGTAACGGTAGATCAGAAACGGCCAGGACGTGATTCTCACATTATTAAAGACTCATTTAAGGAGAATGGTTCCATCTACATTTCTTGATGTTTCATAGAAGAAAAAAAAAAATAGCAAAAGGATGTCTTTTTTTTTATGTCATAAAAATTAACACTATTCCTAGACAGAAGTCGTAAATAAAACTATCCAGTCCTTAGGGATAGACCCATAGAAAGAGTCCAGTAGGAGAAAGACTCCCAATTGGGGCACTGAGATGCTAGGCTAGCGGTCCAAGAAAATTGTAAAAAATACCTCCTGGTGATAAAATGTAAAGGCAGTGACTGGTTCATAGTCACAAGTAAAGGTGAGCCGCCCAAGAAATAAGGCTATCTTAGTGAATTCAAAAGTCAGCACTGACTTCTAAAAGGGAGTGATAGCATATGGATACACACATAGATGTGCAACGTAAATGTTTGTCATAAGTAAAACGGCTAGCTCAAAAGCTGCCTGCTCCTGGATTCCTGTAAGCTGCCTACACCACATTCCTCAACCTCAGTTTCTTAGGAGGAATAAGCAGGTATTGATTCACAGCTGTGACATTCCATGAATTTAATAGAAAAACGATTTGAAGGACATAGGAGGATCACAGGGGCTTACTAGGAAGAACCTTTAAGAAAATGGAAAACTGCATTGGTGGGGGAAAAAGCCAGGAAAGTTGCACCAAGGAATGTTTTTCCATCACAACAATGATGTCCTAGGAGAATTTTGTCAGGAAACCTTACCCCAGCCACCCTCCTACCCTCATATTGCCCCTTTAGACCTGTTTGTGTTCCCCAAACTTAGAGCACATTGACAAGGAACGTGATCTGGCTCCCTCAAGGATGCTGTAAACTGACGAGTTCAGAGTTCAGGGAAGGGTTAGTGTCTCAGTCCTCTAGTGCTGCTAAAACAAATGCCATAAGTGGATGCCTTCAACAAACAGAAATTGCTTGGTTCTCTTAAGTTTAGGAGGCTAGTAGTCCAAATTCAGAGCTCCAGCGCTGGGGAAAAGGCCTGGTCTCCTTTCAGCATTGTTAGGCCCAGCATTTCTTGGGGATCACCATCTTCCCCCTGATTCTAGGAGCTTCTCAGTGTAGGAACTGCAGGTCCAAAGGATGATTGCCACTCCCAGCTCTTCTGTCTTGGTGGTACTAGCTTTCCCCCTATCTCTCCTTTGATCCCTTATAAAGAGTGGGTGCCACACCCTTGATGGTATTAAGGGAGTCCTCGTGTGGTGCTGTATGATAAGCAGTGGACCACAAGGGCAGCTTGAAATGAAAGTTGGTGGTGGTCAAACTCACCAGTTGCTTCTCAGAACCCCTAGACAGGGTTGCTATGAATCTGAACCAACTCGACAGCACTTAACATTCCACTTTTTTTTTTTAATCCTTTTATTGTGAATTGAGTGGTTTACAGAGCAAATCAGTTTTACATTCAACAAATCATACTTTGCTTCATTACATGGTTGCAATCCCCTCAGTGCACCAACAGTTAACAGCATTCACCTCTATTCACTGAAACCCCTGCATTCCCCGCTGTGTCTCCCGCCACCCCCATCTTTCCTTTGCCGACCTCCCTCCGGTAGTATATTGCCTGCCCCAACACCCATGTCAACACCTGTCTACCCTCTAGCACATGTATCATTTCCTCCTTCTGCAAAATTCTTTTATCAAGAAAAACAAAACCTTGCAGGGATAGATAACTGCAATAAAATTCCACTCTTAATCATCTTATTGGTTCATCATATCGATCACATCATGAGGGATCATCATGTCACCACCAAACCACTGAGAATTATGGCCCAGCCAAGCTGACAGACACATGGAGTCCTGGTGTGGCATTGTGGGTTAATGCGCTGGACTGCAAGGCTGGTTTGAACCGTAAGGTTAATGGTTCAACCTCACCAGCCCCTCCTTAGAAACCCTATATAGGGTCACTATGAGTCGGAACTGACTCAATGGCACTTAACGACAACAAATGGACACATATTTTTGGGGAGGAACACAATCCATTCCATGACACAGAGACTTTCAGAAGTGAATAGACATAGATGGAGGGTATGTTGAGAAAGAATAGCTTCAGATTTTGATATTTTCATTGAATAAAGGTTTCTAGGATTTTGTTGTGCTCAGTAGGAACTTGTACACCAACCAAGAGGCAAGCATTTGAACAGAACAAGGGAATACTGAATGGTTTAAAATCAGGAAATGCATGTGCAGGATTGTATACTTTTACCATACTCATTCAATCTGTTTGCTAAACTAATCATCTGAGTTATAGGATTAACCTGACATCAAGATTGGCGGAAGACTCATGAACAGCTTGCAATGTGCAGATGACCAAGTCTTGCTTGCTGGAAGCCAAGAGGACTTGAAATACTTAGTAATGAAGATCAAAGGCTTCAGAATGGATTACACCTCAGTGTAAAAACAAAACTCCCCACAATTGAACCAGTAAGTAACATCGAGAGAAAAGGAGAAAAGATTGAAGTTGTCAAAGACTTCATTTTACTTGGCTCCAAAATCAACACTCGTGAAAGCAGCAGTCAAGAAATCAAATGATGTATTAAGCAAATCTGTTGCACAAGACCTTTTTAAAGGGTTCAAGAACAAAACGTCAGTTTGAGGACTAAAGTGCACTAGACCCAAGCCAGCCGTGGTATTTTCAGTTGCCTCCTATGCATGTGAAAGTTGAACAATGAATAAGGAAGACCAGAAAAGAACTTGCATTTGAATTGTGTTGGCCAAGAATATTTAAAGTCCCATGGGCTGCCAGAAGAACAAACAGATCTATCTTGGAAGAAGTACAGCCAGAATGCTCCTTAAAAGCCATCATTGTGAGATGTCTCCTCTTGTTTTTTTTTGACACATTGGTCAGAAGGGACCAGTCCCTGGAGAAGGACATCATGCTAAATAAAGTGGAAGGTCAGCACAAAAGAGGAAGACCCCCAGTGAGATTAATTTATACAGTGGCAGCACATAGGCTCATACATAACAATAGTTGTGAGGTTGGTGCAGAACCAAGCAGTGTTCTCTTCTGTTGTGCAGAGGGTTGCTATGAGTTGGAACCAACTCAACGGCACCTAACAATAATAGTAGTTTTGTACCAATGCTTTTTGACCTGCCCTTGTATTAAATATATATCTATTAAATATGTATATTGTTGTTGTTGTTAAGTGCCATCAAGTTGGTTCCGATCCATAGCGACCCTGGATAGGATTTCCGAGGAGCAGCTGGTGGGCCTGAACCGCCAACCTTTCAGTTCAAATAGTTTTGCAGTCTGGCGCATTAACCCACATCCCCACACCAGAACTCCAAAATATATATATATATTAGATAGCTAGATACATAAAGGGCCTTTCAAGACTTGTTCATCTGGTTACAGTGAATACTAGTTAACGTGTATTTGCCATCCAGGGCGACTCCTGAGAGTTCATTTCATTTGTACAGGCCACACCTCCACACCACCAGGACTTTCCCCATGGGTGCTTCTGTGAACAAAAACGCCCAAACACTGGCCCTTAAGGGGATGGTAGGGTCTTGCCACAGAGCATATGTAGATGACATTTGAAAACGGTGGTCTCCAGCCTTGTGTTTTAAATGTCTTTGATGCCTTTTCATTTGAAGCCTTTAAAATAAATGGCCTTTTGATTTGCCAGTCTTTACAGTTGTCAGGATCACTAATACCTTCTTTTCTCCTAGTTTGCAATGAATCCATTTTATGAACCCAATTCGCCTATCCGATCAAGCGCATTTGACAGAAAAGTCCAGTTTCTTGGGAAGAAACACCTCTTAAGCTGAATGTGGAACAATCCTATCCTCAGCACTGTCGCCACAATGGGGTGGACTCAGGAATGTGTGTGTTGTAACTTAATTAAACCACCTGGAAACTTATATTGTGTTTGTTTATCTAATAAACCTGATAGAATTGCTTTTCTATTTCAAAACCAGTACATTCTGTTTCTTGTCAATGAGCAGATCAGCATTCGCTTGTGAATGACATTAGGTGGAAAGAGCGCTTTCATCAATAATGTTGAAGTAGCTTTCCTTTGCGGATTGAGGGGATGCTTTTGAAAAAAGTCAAGTTAATAAGCTTTAGGTTTTCCTAATGCAGATAGCTTCAGCCCAATTCAACAGGCCAATGCCAAATGTCCAGATGTGGCACAGATTGAAAACAGAAAGTTTCTGCCGTAGGGAATCAAGTTGACTGCTGGCGCACATGTGGTTTTTAATACCTTTAGTGATAATGTTGTAAACGTGTAGAGGCAGTGTGCAAAGCAGTAACCTAAGAAGCCCAAGACAAGGGTTTTTGTGGTGGTAAATGCCACCTGCCCGCCTGTGTAACTTTTAGTTATCCTGTTATACTTCCAGACTCCTGGATCCATGTTTGTGGATGCATCTATCACGTTGGACTTTATATAATAACCTAATATTCTTCTATTTCCTTTTCCTCAGATAGTAAACCAAGGATTACGTGACCCTGTTATGACATGAGTCTATTTTAGAGTTGTAATCTAGATCATATTAACATTGATCTGGGAGGTAGGCATGGATGGTCTCGTTTGTGTTGTAACAAGTATAGGCTCTTACTGTTAAATGGCAAATGTCCATTGAATGGCAAGTTAATAATATAGCCAGGTATTTTCTGTGCTAATAATGAACATTTGAAAGTTTTGTTGCATTCTGAGTAACTTTTGAACAAATATTGCTAAGCTTGGCGCTATTTCCTTGTGTGAGGTTGCGCTACCATATTATTTCATCCTATGTATTTATTTCTTAAATAAGAACTTGTCTGGCCAAGTTTGTGGTCCTGTAATGCACAATTTTAAAGTGGTGACTCTCTCACGTACACCATTTTAGTACTATTTCCCTTATTTAACATTTGGAAACTAGGGTGCTACCTTAACTGTTATACAGAGCTCAGACGACCTCAAATGAATGCCAGTGCTTTTCAAGTGGCTATGCTGTCTTCTAGAAATTCAGGAGTAATTTCAATGTTTGTTGGAGATGCAGACCTGTGTTTATTGTAGATACTTTGCCCTGCCCTCAATGAACTTACGATGCAGAAAGCCAGACCATTAACTAGCCAGGAGAGCAGAGGCACATCATTTGGGTGGCAGAATTCAGCTACATGAGGGTGGTGACCCATTGTGGCCCTTTCCTTCAGGCTGAGGCGGGTGGGGGAGTAATAACTGTCAGCATTGATTGTGTAAGTGTATGGCAATCGTTAAGTACCGCATTTCCTGTGTGACTTGGCTTTGGAGGTGAGCAATGGGGAAAGGCAGTGAGAAATGGGTTCTGAACACAGCAATGGCGAGAGATGGCGTTTTGAGATCAACAGTCACCCACTTGTCAGGCACCTCTAAGTACACGTGTGGGCACTGAGTTTGCAATCTTCATTAGCTGCCCCCACCCCCCTCAAGTGACCGAATTAAAGCACACACATTGGAGTTTGCCTACTTTCTCCAGCTAGAAACTCCCAACAATGCTTCACTCGATATTGGACGTGAATGAAGCCTGTTCATCTCTGCCCTGTCTTGCCTATACCATGTTGTATACCTTTCAGTCACAGGATCCTTCCTGATCCCATGTTATCAGAAACTACTGGTCCTACAGACTCCATCCTTGACCAGTCACAGCCCAGTGCATTTCCCCCTCAGGACGTAACTGCGCTCCAAGCAGCTCTGTGAGGGCATTCTCATGCTGGTGTCTTAATAAAGTGAAGCCACTTTTCATAGAGATGTAAAACCAACTAATCACTACTTTCTTTTTTAAGACAAGAACATTTAGGACGCTTGGACTGCAGCCAGGCCATTTTCACAAGGATGAAATGACTTCCCATCTTACACTGCACATCAGTTGCCAGACAGGCATTTGTCCCTTCTGAGTTTGGTATTTTACCTTTCTTAAAACAACTCCAAAAGGGTTTACATTCATGGACAGCATGGGACTAGCTGGGTGTCTCATTGGAAAGGCGGTCAGACTATAGTAAGCAACAGTACTGTCATACTGGGGGGCCCCCACCCTGTTCCCCCAGACTAGAACACATTCTCTTTCTTCCCTTTCCTTTGGAGGCTCTGCATGTCTTCTATGGTTTTGTGCCTATTTCTCATTGCTGTACAGGTGGCACTAGCCAATCACAGCACCTTTTACTTCAAACAAAAGAATGTTCAGGTTTTCAGCTCTCTGTTGCTGCTGGTTGACAAGGTTTCCCATCAGTATTCTGTTGTTTTTTTCAAGGCTGAAGCCATTCAGTGGGTTTTGTTCCTATTTCCGTACCCGTGAGCAAATTAACCCATGTGCAACTGGAGTATTTTCCCTTTAGCTAATACATGAAGATCTGTTCCCATGATTGTTTCTTGCCCGGTTCTAATTCTTTTGAAAGCCAGCTAATTTAATCCCTGAATATTTTGCTAAAAACTTTACTGGAAGATGGAAAAGCCATAAAATACCTACACACACACATTTCTCGTGTGCTATCTAGATGGGTCCCCAAGAAAGTGACTGGAGTGGTAGGGTGAGACCTGTCCCTTGGGCCTTTTGATACGGATCCATGTGACTATTACCTTTTGAAAGCATTAACTTCAAAAAAGGACTAATTATGCCCATTGTTGGCCATGTGTGTTGAAACTGGTCTCCTCACATACTACTGCTAGTAGAAATGTCCACGGCCCCTATCTTCTGTGAGGGGAACTCTGAATAGTATCTTGAAGCCAGTGTCTCTCAATAGAGAACAGTTTACACAAAGAGGTGTCCACATAGCAAGTATAATAAATGAGGCAGGTCTCCTAGAATGGACAGATGTCCAGATAGTCAGAAAGACACTAAGTCATAAATTAATGGGTATTCTTTTGATTTTTTTTTAAATGTCCTCAGCGAGTCTGCTCAAGAAAAATGTTACCAGTGGATTCCAATTTTGTTTTGTGGATGATTATAGTTGGGAGGGAAGAGGATGATTATAAATAATAAAAAGCCACTGCTCTATGTAACAATAGGAAGACATTTCATTTTGCCCAATATTAGATGGTTTTCTTAAAGCAAATTTGTCCACTAAGTTCCTGGTAATGACCATCTTTTCCCATGGTTCCCCAGGTACTAGGGCTAGAGAAGGGGAAAGAACCAGTCCAATTTTGCAAACTCTCCACTCTTCCTCCGCCCCCATCACCTGGGAAGTTGAGGCCACACTGACCCTGACCTAGGCTTTGATTTACATCTGTAGGGTCACTGTCAATGACACAGCACAGAAAACTGCAATTTGCTTTTCGCAAGTCTAGCCATATAGCAGCGAGTCCCTAGAGGAAATCACTAGTGTTTTCTTAGCTTCCTGCTGTTGTTAAGTGCTGCTGAGTTGATTACGACTCGTGGTGGGGGTTAGATGCTGTGGAGTCAGTTCCGACTCATAGAGACCCCCTACAGGATTTCCGAGGCTGCAAATCTTTACGGAAGCAGAAAGCCTCATCTTTCTCCCTCAGAACAGCTGGTAGTTTCCAACTGCTGACCCTGAGGTTAGCAGCCTGACTCGTAACCACTACGCTACCAGAGCTCGATTCCAACTCATAGCAACTCTGTATAGGATTTCTGAGGAGCGGCTGGTGGGTTGGAACTGCTGACAGTCTGGTGCTGATCCTACAATGCCACACCAGCTTGCTAGTCACATAAAAATTGGCATGGGCTGGATGTGGGTTACTGGCCAAAGCTCGCCAGTTCTAAAGAATGAGGATTGTTTTCTTGTAAGCTGGCAATCCATCTGGTTATATTCTGCACCTATGCATGGCGCTTGGTGCTAGAGAAGGCACTAAGTAAATGTGTGACCAAATTCTGATGCTTTCAATTCCCTTCAAGCAAGTTTGCTCCATCAGTTTCCCCTGGAATGCTGCTAAGAGTTCGCTTCCAGTGAAGGAGGGGTGCATGGGGCATAACGGCTGGGTAATTCTACTGGATACCAAGCTCATTGCCGTGGAGTTGATTCCAACCCATAGCCACCCTCAAAGCACAGAACTGCCCTATAGGGCTCCCAAGAATCGTATCTTTATGCAAGCTGGCTGCTCCCGCTTTTTCCAGTTGGAACCACATCCTGCAGCTGAGCACTTACCCACTGCACCGCTAGTGCTCCTCTAGTCTGTTGATAATACTCCTATCAAGGCTGCTGAGATTTAGAATGAAAACAGAGTAAGTTAGACTATAAACAGAAATAACTCAAAGAACAATGCATAGGACTTGCATTCAATTTTAATCTTTAATACCTACCAAGGAAAAATCCCACCCTCAACCAAGAACTGGGATGCTAATTACATAAAAATAGACACATATAAAAAGTAGCTCTCCATTTTCCTAGAAAAAAATAATACAAGGATAACTTCTAGAATATTCAAGGTGGGTTTTTTTTTAATTGTAATTAAAAGTCTTGGTCATCTCATTTATTAGCTTTGTAACATTTAAATTAAAGATTATTCAAAAACCGTTACAATTTATCAATGCTGGGTGGGGCTATTATTCAGTAAATCAGTTCCCCCATGAGTGGCGATGTCCCTTCTGCCACCCATTGAGGAAGCAGCAATCTGCATTTTGTTTAATTGTATTAGTAGCATGATGTATTTATTGCTGCAAACACGCAATGTAGTGTGCACGTGTGAGTTGGTTAGACCGCCCCCACGTCTCTTTCAAGTTCAACAGCAAGATGAGCTGGGCCTGGGTTTCTGGTGCAGATTGACCATGTCTGTCTGAATCAAGTGATCCGACCTATCCTCCATGGCAAGAACTCTTCGAACTGCCTCCTCAAAGGCAGCTGCAACATTGGTGGCATCTTTCGCACTGGTTTCAAAGTAAGGATGGTCGCCGTTGTCCCTGCACCAGGCTTGGGCTGCTTCTGCCGAAACTTGCCGCTCACTAATGTCGATCTTGTTCCCTAAAATCACAAAAGGAAAGCTTTCTGGCTCCTTCACGTCAGCATAGTAGATGAATTCTTTCTTCCAATTGCTCAAATTCTGGAAGCTTTGTGAATCGTCGACACTAAAAGTAAGCAGGCAACAGTCCGACCCTCTGTAAAATGGGGTCCTCAGGCTCCTGAAACGCTCCTGCCCAGCCGTGTCCCAAATCTGCATGGTAACAAAATGGCCATCCACCTCCAGATCTTTATTTAGAAACTCCACACCTATTGTATGGAACAGCTGGGTATCAAACTTATTGGTGACGTATCTGTTCATGAGAGAGCTTTTCCCAACTCCGCCATCTCCAAGGAGGATGACTTTAAAAAGCGATGATTTGCCTGCCATTGTTAATCGCCAGATCTTTGACTTCCAAGCCCTGTAAAATAAAGTGGGAGCATTACACTCCTTCCTCTATAGGGGTCTGATGATCAGGGTTGAAATGACAACACAGATGACCCCCAACCCAACCCCTGTGCCAGGTGCTATCCTACCATGATGCCCTAAAACAGCTGGACTTGCTCTTCCCCTTTCTCAGATCACTTTGCTGTGATGCTGGCGCACGCAAAAGCCCACGTCTGACCCCAGAAGCCTTTGCTCTTATAAGCAACTCTATACAGTACTCACCCTCTACAAAAAAGAGTGATGAAAACTGAAGCTACATGAAAACAATTAGTCCAACAGACTAATGGACCACATAGCCATCAGTCTCCATGACTCTGAGACCAGAAGACCTACACAGTGCCCAAGTTACCAACTGCTCTGAAAGGGATAGCATTATAAGTGAAAACAAAAAACCTCCCCCGGCTTGGTGGTCTGATATAGGGACTGGTAGAACACCTGTGGCCAGGTCTGGAAATGAACTCAGCCCCTGGGCTCAATTTTCAGCCAAACACTAGATAGAGGCCTATAAGGGGAACAATCACACTAGGGAGGGACACACACACCTTAGAATCAGCAACCATTTGAGATCAAAAAGGGCAGCATTTGCCCAAGGACAAAGTTCAGAAGGGTTAAGAGAGGAGGTGGGATGAAAACAGGAAACACAGGGAGGAGGGGGCATACGGGATGCTACATTGAGGGGATTGCAATCCATGAGATGAAACAAAATGTGCATGAATTGTTGAACAGAAAACTGATGATCGAATCTGTAAATCTTCACTCAATTCACAAAAAAGAGTTAAAAATCAGTATCATCATCACCACCCTCCCTCTACTTACCAAAAGCCCTGTCACTATTTGTTAAGGTTCAGTTAGAGACCCTTGTACTCAACTGTCAAAATTCCACATAGCCCTTCAGTGTCACAGGGGCAAGTGTTCATTGCTGGCTTTCCTTTCAAAACATAGGGTACAATTTCCACACCTTCAATATGAGTATCTGGGAGTACGTTGGTATTTTCTAAAACAATATACACGTGAACATCTCTCGTAGTCTAACTGGAGAGTTGTATATGAACATCTATGGTGATGTAATTATACAAATCATCTAATTGCTAACTAATATCTAATAAAAGCCACCTTCGTTCAATCTTATATTAACATAACCATAATCAGTTTTATGGCCATTAAAACAATTTTCTTCTCTAAAAATAGTAAAATCATTTGAAATTTCTTTAGCTTAAGTTGAATGAATACAATTATTCTACTATGCAATTTTCAAAATTTCCCTTTAAATGTGAAGTCTCTTGTATTTGAGTTTGGAATGATCGCCCAAAATCAATAATCTTCACCAAGGTTAAACATTACGTTAGCAATTCAGCTAAATTCTACAAATAAAGAAATGTGAATAAAACAGGCAGATTACACAGGTCAGGAATCTTACCTAATTGTTCAGTTCAAACATCATTATAACCTGTCAAGAAAAACATTAGAAAGTTCACCTTAGCTGTGTCTCTTTAATTTGCTTTCATCATTTTAAAAGTAAAAACAAGAATGAAGAGGTGAAAGAAATCTAACAGTGAGTGATCCTAAAACTTACTACTTTCAATCTAAAAGGAAAATCCCTCCAGATAGCTGTTTGCCACCTTTCTCAGCCTAAAACATCCTAACATCAATCAAAAACAGCTTTTTGCCAGCCCACCTTTTTCTAAATGTCACACTCACAGACAAAAGGATCTAAATTATGACACAAACCAAGGTAAAATTTAAAACTCTCTCAAGACTGAAGAAAGGGCCCAGGGAGCAGCCCCTCCCATCTCTATAGCCTGAAGTCTCTTCCCAAGTACCTACCTCCTCGGTGTGCTGGAAGGGTTCTCTGAGACAATGAATTACAAGTTTGACATCACAGTGCCAGGCTCATGATAGGAGGGCAGGAAACTTCTGTGGAGTGAAGACATGAACCAGTCTTTACCGGAAAGGCCCTTTCATAGCGCCAGGCTCCTAGTCCTCCCTGGGGATCACACTCCACTCAGGCTTCATACTTACAAAAACATTTAAAATCAAAGGGCATATTTGTGGGACTTACATATAGCAGGTCTTTACCTTACATATTCAATCAATGAAAACAAGAAGACTGCTCAAAATCTTCACTGGAAGAGTTAAGGATCTAAGCAGGTGAAGCATGTAACAGTAGCTAACACTCATTGAGCCTTGTGTGGCACTTAGTACAGTGCATCTGCTCCCTACATTACAGAGCAGATGCCTGGTGTGGCGCCACAGGATCAGCACTGGACTGCTAACCACAAAGTCAGCGGTTCAAAACCACCAGCTGCTCCCTGGAAACCCTATACTGGGGTCGCTCTGAGTCAGAACCAACTCAACAGCACATAACAACAACATACTGCAGATAAAGAACCCTGGTGGCACAGTGGTTAAAGCACTCCTCGGGGGAACCGAAGGTCAACGGTCCAAACCCACCAGTCACTCGGCAGGAGAAAGTTGTGGCGGACTATTTCTATAAGAGTCACAGCCGTGGAAGCCCTAGACGGTCCTGTAGTGTCACCCTGAATTGGAACCGACACCACGGCAACTGGTTTTACGTTATAGATGAGGACAGGGACTCAGAGGAAGTGCCTTGCTCACAGTCAGACAGCTGTCTTTTCACTGGTTTCTAACAGGTTTACAGTTGTTGCTGTGGATATAAAGAAGTTACAAGTAGAAGTCTTTCTACCGTTGCATTACTTCAAGATCTAAACAAAACCAAACTCCCCGACAAAGCTAGTAGTTTCAAATCTGTAGGCATGGATTGTAAAAGACATTTGCAAGTGCAGATGTTTTAAGAGTATAAAACATTTTTGAAAATGAAGTATGAATCAAACATTCACAGAATGCTGCAACTGCTCTAGGCTGGTGCTGCATAGAACAGGCTGGGAATGTTTGTCAATCAGGATTTACTGAGTGCCTTCAAGAAGTTCATGGATAAATTCTGCTGTCTTTTCATTCCATGTTTCCACCAAGGTTTTGAGTCCCCCTGAGAAGCTGCATAACAGGTACAGTTCCTGCCTGTGGAACAGGTGGTTTGGTAGCTGTGACAATCCTCAGGCACATTTCAGTGACAACGGTAGCAAGTACTAGAAATGAGAGGTATATGGTAGAAGAGAGGAAGAGTACAAACAAGAATTAAAAGTGCAAGAAATCTTTCTCAGTGATCTGAGAGACCTGCCACATTCTTCATCTAAAAAACGCTTGTACTCAGCCAAAACCCATGTGAGAAAACTGCAATGAGGAACAGGCCCCATCTGCGGGGGGGGGGGGGGGGGGGAGGGAATGTCACCCAACTTAACATGACTCTAGCAAAGTACATAAACACATATACATAAGGTCTCTCTCTCTGTCCCACAGAACAAAGTCCAAATCATATCAACCTTTTTACAGAGCTCATGTAGAAGAAAATGTTTGCTATATTATCTATGGTGAGCTCTGTGCATGTCTGATGAATTTTCTCAACCAAACATCAACTTGCACGGACAGATGCAGAAATGGAAATCTTAGCCTTTAGAAGCTCCACAAAGTCCAGAAAAGAGTACTTCATGTTCATCCAGCCTGACCCCAGCACACAGCCAGCTCGGTCATCGGTAGCTTGGTTAAAGAAAAAGTCCAACTTCCCACATGGGAGAAATGCTGGGCTACGGTCAGCTTCCCGCTGCCCTCTCCAGATCCTTTACCATCCTGGGCCTTTGTACCCAACCAGCGGGCCCTCCCAAAGACCTGACCCACCTCTGGAACTGGAAGAGGACAGGGTCCCAGGGAGAGGATTTGACCCCAGGTTGAGCCAGGAAGTGATGATGAGCTCAGCTCACCAGAAGCAGGAGGAAACATCAGACAGAGGGGGCAGCCCAGACGCCGCCCTGCCAGGGAGAAAGGGTCTCTGAGGGTTAGGCTGGGCTGGGAGACCCCCAGATAGGACTGTCTGCATACCTGGGGGTGAACAGTGAGCAGCGGAGATGTGTCCTGTGGAGGAAGGCCATATAGTGGGCAAGGTCTTACAAGCCATGGGCAGGGTTTCCACCATACTCTAGAAATAATGATGGGGAGCCATTCCTTTCAGCAGCGGGGTGACCCGGCCAGATGTATGGGGGTCAGCAAAGTATCTGACAGTGGAAAGGCAGCTGCAGGTGAGGGCAGGAGGCAGGACTGGGCAGCAGCCTGCTCAGATGTTGTACTAATGATGTCAGCTGCGTGCAGGATTAAAAAGGGAGGTGGCTGTGCCTCAGGTTCTACCCTCCAGTAAAAGGTCACATTCACACAGTGACATCATGCTTCACCTTGTCCTCCTTTAGGGCCCTCCTCTTGCTCCCTCATCACCCCTGCCGATGCAGGTAGGCCTCATCTGCTCAGAACCTGCCAGGCACCTCCAACTACACTCCCTGCTGCTGCCCATGCCTCTATCATCTACCAGGATGCAATGGTGTCAGTGATGTGCTTACTCACATCTAATAAAAACCAAACAATGCTCTCCAAAGATTCCAGGTCGGAAAACATATGCCATTATAAAAATGCCTCATCATTTTTTGGACTATACCAAAAACTAACCCCATCTTACCCTGAAACAACTTCCCCCAAAAAAGAAAATGAAACTTGACAAGCAATGGGCACAGTGGTGCAAAAAGAAACAATCCAAGTGCCTAACTTGGGGTGTTCTGCTGGGACTGGGAGGCCATAGAAATGGGAGTTGCAAAAACAAACTCCTAGCAAGGCTGGCTGGCAGAATGTGCCCTTTATACATTTAAATGAACATGTATTTCTTGTTTTGTATGTGCACATAAAATACTTCTGCTTTGTTCATTTGTAAAATATAAGATATAAACCGGGAGCCACAGGGAGGAAGTAGGATAACTTGTTGTGGAGATGGGATTGTAATCATTGCAATGCAACAACATGGATAATTTGCTGAATGTAGAGCCTGTCTGCA